GGACGAGTCCTCCGTTGACGAGTGACGCGCTCCGTGGCTCGACTTCCTCCGGCTTGAGATGACTCAGCTTGATTCTCGTTTTGGCTTTCTTCTTCTTCTTCGGCGACTATCAGGTCCAGATTTGGTGCAGCATCGCCCTCCTCTCGATACACGATCCGGGAAAACTTGGCTTCAGTGATGAAACACGTCTTCTTGACCGGCACCTGAGTGTCCCGAGTAAAGTCTATTTTGCAATGAGCAAGGATATGCATAATGGGGATGGCAAAACGGAGATGGGAAAAACGAGTGCCATCGCTAAGTGCAACGATAAAGAAGTGAACCCAATCAAATTTGACATCGTTCAACAGGACGTGAAACAAACGAATATCGTCCTTGTTGACAATGCCATGGTTCGAATCACGGGGCAACAAAACATATGAGAAGATGTATTGTTGGACACGTTGAATTAAAGTGAGATTAATGACACTCGGGTTGCTAGAGTTTCTAAACTTGAGGTCACGATGATCTAACCCGAGTTGTCGCCAAATTGCCTCATCTTGGAATGTTTCATCCAAGTTTTCAGTAATTTCACCGAGACGAAGGCCAAACAAGGAAGTTAAACCGGCACCGTCAATGAAAACGGTTTTGACGTCAACATAGGAAATGAGAGATGGCCAACCTCCCTTAGTGGTACGAAGATTTGCATAAAATTGACGTATAAGATTTGGACAGAAAAATTCATACGTCAAATGAATGAAACAAAGCAAACCTTGCTAAAGAAACATAGACTTACTCGGAGCATAGGTCGCCGATTTGAAGAGGTCCTTGTTCACGATCTTGGGAGAGACGATCTCCTTCGTGAGGAAGATGTTTTGGAACCTCTCGACGGAAGCTCCAGTGTTGAAGGCGAGACCCGTTTGAATGTGAATGTACTTGCTCCCTTCACGACGCCATGGCCTCTCTTTCTCCTCTGCCGCCGTTTCTTGACCCGAGGAAGCGTTCTTGCACCTTGGCATTCTTCCTTTTTGTAATTGATGAAATTTGGAAAAAAATGGAAGAAATTTGAGAATTTTATGATGAAGATTGAGAAAAATTGAGAAGGGAAGAAGCTAGGGTTTCTCTGATTCGAAAAAGAGAATGGCGAAGAAGACGAAGACTGGGTGTGATATAAGGCAAAAATCGACTATTAATCGATTAAGCACAAGTATTTAATCGATTAGGGAACACAGCCGAGGCTAATCGATTAAGTTAAGCTTATTAATCGATTAGAAGTAAGCAGAACCAAACGTCTCTTTTCAAGCTATTAATCGATTAAACAGAGATGGTTAATCGATTAATATGGACAGATGAGTCTAATCGATTAATTGAACAAAATTAATCGATTTAAAAGTGAATCATCGCTAAAGACGTTTTCGGATTTTAATCGATTAAAAGGAATCTAGTAATCGATTAAGAGGGACAGAGGCGACTAATCGATTTCTCTTCGAGGAGTAATCGATTAAAACTTGGTTTGACAGAAGAAAAAAAACATCAAGTCCAGTTCGGTTGAATACCAAGGGAAGAGATACCTACAATAAAAGCCCTGCAAAAAGAATTTATCGCGCCTCTAACGCTCAAATTAGTATAGTCAATAAAAAGAATGGATTAGTTCATAGAGATATCCAAAATTCCAAGTTCGTTCCGAATGTGGAAGAAGCTCTCCCTACTAAGGGGTTTCGTGAAAATGTCTGCCAATTGATGTTTCGTTTCAACAAACTCAATTGTGACATCTCCCTTTTGGACGTGATCTCGTATGAAGTGATTCCTAATTTCTATGTGCTTAGTCCTTGATGTACCCCGGGATGCTCCTACAAGCACGGAGGTTACATCACAAACGATAAAACAAATCAAAGGGTTAATATCTAAGTGTTATGATCCTTGTTGGGCTGAACTCATTAACCTTTCGTACCCTAAAACCCAAACCATAACCCTGCTCCTCCAAAACTCTTCTTGATATCAAACCTTTCCATATCCTTCCCAAATATCCAAAGTCTTTTATTTCCATTTGATAAACAAAATAAAGTCTTTTCTCTCCTTTTTAGCCCTGAACAAGAATGAGGTCAGAAGGACAAGCCTTGTGTATTATTTCTACTTCTATTGTTCCTTTTAATTAAAATAAAACCTCCCTTTCACTTCCCTGCTTCAAACCCACGAATTTCCCAACTCTTTTACCCAAAAATCAGGCCACATTATGTTCCACAAAACAAAAACAAAATCAGGAAAAAGTTTTCCTTGATTGAATAGTGCTGATTTTGTCCTATTGTTCAAAACCCAATCCCATTCATATCCTTCAGCTTATGGCCGAATTTCCCACTCCAAATATCCATAAACACAACTCCATTTACCAAGGATAAAGATAAAAACATCAAGGAACCAAAATCAGTGATTGAATAGTGCAAACTTTGTCACATTATCCTTAATTGTCAAAGTTACAATTTTCCTTGATTTCCTTCTCACATGGCAGGAATTAATGAACCATACTAAGCCAAAATCCCAGCCTTTTAATCTCCTTTTCCTGGTCAATGAGTGCTGCCCACTAAGAATAATAACACATGGATATTAATCACATGATTTGTA